ATATTTTGAAATAATGCTTTGAAATATTACATACACAAATACAACATAAAATCAGTTATTTAATTAAATCATACATCTTTTCTAAATAAGTATTGACATATATTAATTTTTTTTTAGTATTAAACAAAAAAAAAAGTTATTAAAAGTTTATTATTAAATAACAGAAGGAATTAATTAATCTAAACATAGAATATTTAAGAAACTGCTAAGATTATACATATGAAATCTTAAAAAATATTTATATATATACTTATCGCTATTTTAAATTAGTATAGTTATTGAAGTTTGAGAATTTTATGAATTTTGTATTGATAACAATAATGTGTACAAAATTCATAAGATTCATAAATTTTAATAACCACCTAATCTAAAAATCAGATAAAATTTATTTATAGTTTAAGATAAAAAAGCAAACCATTTTAACTATTTTTACTTTATCTTTCTGTAACTTATATGACACGAAAAAAGACTATTTTAGCTATTTCTTGGGCAAGAGAATATTCTGTTAATTTTTACACAGAAAATAATATTCTTATATATCATTTTTGCAATCATAAGTATTAACTTTATTAAATCTTATCATGAGAGTGAAACACACCAAAGAGCAAAAGGTGATATTTAAATTTACAGCATACTGATAGACAACAATCTATAGAAAGTTTAATGCAAGCAAATGATCATAAAACTAATATTATTCATAATTTATTAAAAGTATGGATTAGTGATAAATATTTTATTACAAATTAATACAAATCTAATTCTAATTATAAATTAATACAAATTTTTTAGATAATACAAATAAAGATTTTGTATAATACAAAAAATTTTTCAGATCTCTGCTCTAGGGTTGTTGTTGCATATGTTTAAAATCACGTGTATTTTTTCTGGTTTTTTTTGTCCCACAGTGTAAAATATCTACTACTGATATTTTTTTAATTTCATTGATAACTAATTAAAGAATACTTTTATTATTAATCAAGTAATTGTTTAAAAACTTCTCATATATAAAAAAAATACAATAGCAAATTAAGATTTATTAACGTTAATACATGATATGTGAAGTTACAAGCTTCAAAAAATCACATTTTTATTACATGATTTCACGGACATCAATATCTGTTAGATCAGATAATTATACCTAGGTCTATAATTTTTTGTATTACAGATGCTTCAAATTTTAGTTTTTTATAAAAAATATTCTCATTATTTAAAAGACTTTTAAGAAAATTATCATAATCTTCATAAGTTGAAGACATTAAAAAATTTGCTGTTAGTCCAGATTTAATAAGAATCATAGCAGGGCATTGAGTTATATAAAGCAATTCAATTAACTGCCAAGTTTCTAACCAATAGCGTCTTTCATATCTTTCAATGATTCTAAAAAGTGTTTGTACCTTATTACTAATAAGATCACATAAAGTTAAATAGTCTGAAAATACTTTATTATCTTCTTTGTATTTCGGCACATATGTTACTGCAAGTGCTACGAAAGGCCTACTTAAATTATATAGCATATGCAACCTGGATTCCTCAATTAAACATTTTGCAGACCCAAGTTTATTATATAAAGAAATCCAACTTTCAAGATACTTATATATTGATTCAATATCTTGAAATGAATAAGTTGGTAATTTTTGAGATAGATTATAACTAACTCTATTACTATTATTAAAAAATAGGTGATCGAAGTTAGTTGTAAAAAAACTTTTAACTGAGTTAGTTAAAAAAAGTTAATTATCGTATATAATCAACTCTTTTTGAGTAATATTTATAAAAGCTTGTTTTAGACACCGGGCCTTACTAGATTTATTGTTTATAATACTATCTGTATCTAGAAGATTATTTAATATAAGTAAATTTTTAATAAAATTGAATCAATAAACAATAAAACTTACCATCTAACTCTAATTCAATAGATTCAATAACTTTTTCTTTTGAGTTATGCGACATTGATTTATCTTTTGATACAATTGTAGGATTTGCAGCATTTGCAATATTATTTAAATTATGTAAAGTTTCCAAGGTGTTTACCATTGGATTCTACATAAAAGTATAAAAAATATGATAATTAATTTTATCCAATATATATGCATAGTTAATCAGAGTATAAGAATTAATATTGCTAATAGTTTAAATTTCTTATATTTTCGAATAATTCTTTATTTAGATTATATAATATTTCAGTCAAATCCTAAAAATATATGTATAAAATTATATATGAAAATTAACTTATATATATATAGTTAATCTTAAGATAAGAAACTGTTAATAGTTTATATTTCTTACTTTTTCAAATAATTTTTTATTTGCATTATGCGAATTTTCTAATATATTTGCAACTGAATCCTAAATTATATAATAAAATTGTGTAAAAATCAATTATATATATATATAATCTAATATAAGAATCAATCGTGCCAATAGTTCAAGATTCGTATATTTTTGATTGCTTCGTTATTTGAAAATTCTGATGGTGAACATAAAGTATTGTCTAATTTTAAAAAATACAATAAATGGTTAAATTTTATAATATAACAATTAATAAAAAAATAAATAGTACTATATATACCATTTAAATTATTTGATTCAGGAAAATCAGGAGAAATAAACTGTAAAGATATAATATCTAATATATAAATTAAATTTAGTATCTTATAAAATTTGATACAGTATTAATTAATTTGTCTTACTTTTAACTGTGCTTTTAGGATCCGAAGATTCATTATTTTCATAATCAATCGATATACACTAGAAAAAAGTAAATTATTTAATTAATTTATTAAATTAAACATATTTACCAAAATTAATATTTACATACTTTTCATTTTAAAGGTTGATTATATACGCTATCAGATATTACTGCTTTACGTTTACTCTTTGTTTTTTTCTTTGAGATTCAACAAAGCTATCATGATTATTGCTCGATGTTTTAAGACCAATTTCTGCTTCTCTGCGCTAACCATAAAAATTAATTTTATTTAGATTTTAATAAAAAATTTCATTGCTAATATGATAGTTAAACTTTACCTGGATAACAAGATTATTATACTTGTTACTAGATGAAGCTCCACAAGTAATTTCTGTTTTACTATACTGTTAATTAAAATTATTAATATCTAAATATTGTTATTTAAATATTAATATTTATTAATTAGAACTTACAAGATTATCACTATGCTCATTAGTATCGCTATACTTGTTATTATCGTTATGCTCATTATCATTATTATCATTATTATCGGTATTATCATTATTATTGTTATTATGCTCGTTATTATCATTATGCTCATTATCATCGTTCGTACTTGTGGTAATGGGTATAGTAAGAGTAGCTAAAGAAGTGTCAGAAGCTGAAGGTGCTTCAGTAGATAGATAATTAGTAGCAGGAGAGTTAGTAGTGTTATTATCGATGTTATGCTTGTTATTATAATTTTTATGCTTATTAGTACTTGTGGCAATGGGTATAGTAAGAGTGGCTAGAGAAGCGACAGCAGCTAAAAGTGCTTCAGTAGATTGATAATTAGCAGTAGGAGAGTCAGTATTGTTATTAATATTGCTGGGCTCATTACTATGTAATAAGCTGATTTCAATATGCTGTTAATTAAATACGTATAATAATTATTATAATTAATATATATTAATATATATTAATAATTTGTTAATATGTTTAATAGAATTTATCTGATTATTATTATTTCCACTAGTTGGCAAATTGTAATCTGATATATTTAAATTAATAATCCTAACGGTGTTGTCAACTAAAGTAATCATCGCAGTACATGATTTATATTCAAAAACAATTGTAGAAATATTTTTGTTGTTTTTTCAAAGAAAGTTGATCGTATTGTTTTCGATTTCTTCAAACATGGCGAAAAAAGTTTTTTTTTTCTCTCTAAAAATATTATATATTTGTATAAATATAAATACGCAACTACTTTTTATAAGATTTAAGTTATTATAATCATAGTATTAATATTATTATAAATTTAAACTTATGTCATTGCCAACATGATTATATGAATATAATTATATAATTGTATTTTACTAAATTAATTTATAAGCTTAAGTCATTATAATCGTAGTATTAATATTATATAAATTTAAACTTATATCGTTTCTAACATGATTATATGAATATAATTATATAATTGTATTTTACTAAATTAATTTATAAGCTTAAGTCATTATAATCGTAGTATTAATATTATATAAATTTAAACTTATGTCACTTCTAACATGATTATATTAATATAATTATATAATTGTATTTTACTAAATTAATTTATAAGCTTAAGTTATTATAATCGTAATATTAATATTATACGTATAAATTTAAATGTATGTCATTGCCATCACATTTATATTATATAATTATATTAATTGGCTGGAGCTAAGGGAAGGATAGATTAGTGGAAAAACAAAAATTCAGCAGATCGGCCCGAATTATGAATTGAAATACACCGGCATTGATTAATTTTACCCAAGATCACTCAAAATTTTACTAATGAAACTATAGCCTACTTACTAAGTAAAGCTACCCGAATGATAATTTTGGTATAATACAGTTAGTTGTTGTTATTTCTTAATGTTGGCTTAAATCTGACCCATAATTCGAGCTGATCTGCTAAATTTTTGTTTCTCAGCTAATTTATCTCTGAGGGAAGTCTTCAAGCCATACTCAGATCGATTTTACTGTCATACGATTTCCGATATTTATTAGCCAATTAAAAATCATGATTAGATATAATGTAAAAAATTTCAAAACAAACATTTGCTTTGCAAAAATCACATTTATCTCAATATTTAGTCTAGTAAACTATTTTTAGAGCTCTAACAAAAAAATTTCCTTGTGCAATTTTGCTAATAATATTATTCTTCTTAAGCTTTAATCAAAATAAATAAAGTTTTTTATCTCAACAACATTTGTTTCTGATCATCATGTAATAGTAAAATCAATAATATGCCAAATTCATAGGGATCGCTAAAGCCTTGTACCCACATGACTTTTGAAGTTTTAATTGTAATTAGAGTTGGGGTTAGTTTTATTGTTAGGGTAAAGACAAGTATATAGGTAAAATTTCTTTCCTGATATTTTTTATTAATATACCAATACAGGTTTAGACCAGTGCTCGAAATTAGTGTTCTTAGAGTTCTCATGAGAACATGAATTTAAGTTTGTGAACAATAAAAATTTTTTACTATTCACTATTAAAAATTTTTTGAAAACAGTAAAATAAAAATACTGTTCTCAAAAGCAGTATATAAATAGATTATATAAAATATAATACCATATAGTCACTGCTTATTTAATCACACTATATATAATCACATTTATTTTTGGACCAAACTATGATTTAATTTATAAGAAAAAGACCTCCATATAAGTAGAGTAGAAGACACGGTAAAATTTTGGGGCATGCCTCTAGGGTATGCCCCAAGCCAAGGCATGCCCTAATATATAAATTACTGTTTCATGCTTTATAATTTTTTATCTAGCAAATCAGATAATTATACTAAATTTAAGAACATGAAATTATTACTGATATACCGGCACTGGACAGCAGTGATGTTAAATGACCTAATCATTTGAATAATTTTAAATAACCTTAAAATATATAAGTCATTTAAAAGTCATTTGGGTCATTTAAATAAGAATACAATTAAATAATTAAACAGTTAAAAAGATTTTTTTTAATTTTTACAGTGAGTTAAAAATATTTTAAAAAATTCTAATAACTATATTTAATAAACATTTAAAAGTTATATATAAATTATAAATTTTATCATTTTATTAGTATTAGCATACTATGATTAGTAAATAATAATAACAAACTAGGTTCTTTGTAATACGTTTTACAAATTATTATAAATTTTATTTTTTTCTTATTAATAAATTTTTAAACTTTATTTTAAATTTATCAATGAAAAACTATTTTATATGCTACGTACTATTAATAATAATAATTATTTTACTTTAAAATATTCAGGTTTTTATATTTTGTGTAATGTCTTCAAACTATAATAGTAGTTTTATAATATTTATATAATCTAGTAATCAACAAGTGTACATTTTTTCAATATGAGCAAACATCATATAACATACCTTTTTTGATTGTCTAAAGTCATTTGGGTTATTTGCTTTTTTCAAATAACCAAATGACCAGTGACTAGTTGTTGGTCATTTGGTCATTTCAAGTTATTTAACATCACTGCTAGACAGTGAGCTTTTTTTAATTGCTAAGATACTATCGCTATTGCAGTATTGATTATTATACCAATATTATGTAGATATAATAAATAATTATAAAAATTCAATATTAACAAAAAAGTTACTGTTTTATCAACACTGGTAAATTTTAAAAAATTTGACTTGCATTCAATATATCGAATGATAAGTCATTCAACTTATATTTGATATATCAAATATAAGTTGAATGACTTATTATTTGACATATTGAATTCTCATAGCAGTTGAATAATGCCATTCAACATGTCAAATTTTTTAAAATTTATCAGTGAATATGATTAACTATAAATTAAAACTTTGATTTATATCTTGTAGATTTCTTAGTAAGTTCAGGTTTATTAATAATAAATATATTTATTACGCTATTTTATATGTATTTATCTATTCTCTGAACATTATAAATTATTTTATATGTATTTATTAATTTGTATGCTTTTTTATATAAAGTTTTTTTTTATATTTTTTAATAGTATTGCTGTTTTGAACACAAATTTTTAATTATAAAAATTGTCTGCTATGCTGAATTCTATTTCTGATATTGACCAATCATATTCATAATGATCCTTCCTGTGATCACATGATAGAGGCATACCTTTTAGCCTAAAGGCATTGTAAGATTTTATAAAACAACCGTAGAAGTTATATTATTAAGTCGTTTTTTTTTAGTGAATATAAACTATTGTTTGAAAACACTTATAGTTATTTTTCTGTTCTCATGAAAACATTCATTGAGCCAGAAATTTCGAACACTGGTTTAGACTGTTTTTCATATTTTTTCATTTTTTAATTGTTTGATTTCTTTGGGCTGATCTGTGTAAACAAAATCTCATGATTTTGATTGGTGATTTATATAGAAAAAAGTTACGTGAATACAAGGCTTTAGCAGACTCCACATTCATACTCTACGAATTTTTAGAAATATCTGGCTTCACTTTAACAGATTCTGATTTGGGTTCAGAATCAAAAAATTGAACCTAAATTAGATTTTATTTTGGATATTGAAACTTTGTTTTAAAAGCAAACATTTAATAAAATAAGTTAATTGGCTTTTGATAAAAGAATAAATTAATTGGCTTTGATAAAAGTATAGTTTATCTGTAATATCATTGTATCATAAACATATTATAATAAATAAAACATTATCATATTCTTTTTGGAGCTTAGTTAAAATGTAAAACCATAAAAGAACTTACATAAACAAACAGCTATAAAAATAAAGCTAGAAAAAATAAAAATATTTACTAAATAAAAAACTGTAGTTAACTCACTGAAAAAGTGAATCAAGAAAAGAGCTGCAAAACAGCAGTAAACAACTAATAACGGTTATATTAAAGTGAAAGAAAACATAAATTAAGATGAACAGACAAAGAAGATTGAATAAATAAAGTTATAGTTTTAAATTAAAGTAAATTAAATTTTGAAAGAAATAATGAAGCCCCAATATGCAATAAATTATTTTAAATCTGAAATTTTCTTGACTCGTTTTGTTAACTTACTAATATTCTAAAAAGATTCAAGAAGATATTGAAGACCTTAAATATAATTATTGCCTACTTGTAAAGAATCTTTTCCTTCAGTTATATAGATCACAAAAATAGTACTTGTGTTAGATGCAGCAAAGACAAATTATAGTTCCAGTATATAATTATAAAAATAATAATATATATAATACAATATTTTATTCTAAGTGTAAGATCTAAGAATTAGGGCTCCAGCCCACAAAACGTTGCTATTTTTCTAGTTTATAAACTTAAGCAATTCTACGGTATATATGTTATTTTATAAAAATCAGTTTAAAAGTTAATTATGTGACTATATGAAAATCTTACATTTTTGCAATAGTGGTAAAATATTTTATTTTTTTTATTTTATTTTTTTTTTAAGGTAAGGTTTTGCCTTTATCTTTATTTAATAATTTGTATTGAGAATCCATTAGAGGTTTCTTTGGTCTATAAGACCAATAATTACAAATATTTTACAAGAGTAAGACTCAGACTATAGATATTTAACTATCTAATTTATCTGCAACCTAAACCTACTAGAGTGGTTAAAAACTCACCT